GTAATTCAGTGTCAGTGTAGTGCTCTCACCTGATTGGAAAAAAAATTTAAAACGGTTCATTGCACAGTGTTTGAGATGAAAAGGCTTCATTTGTTCCCTAATATGTTCACAGAGGGTATAAATGAGCATGTAGGACAGATGACTTTGCAGCCCATTAGAGTATGGACCTTTTGGCTTTAAATGCCATCTCCACTCTTACTTTTCCTTTGCTTTTGTTAGAAAGTCTTCCAAAAAAGCAAGATATTTTGGTTGACAGTCTTTGAAATATCCCATTTGACCTAAAAAACCCTACCATTTCCAAGCCACCAATTACTCTGAAACATTCAGGAAAGGATTTATACTCTCATAAATTCATTCCAACCTTTTAATAGTTGAGTCAAACATCAAGTTATTCCCAAAAATGTCTGTATGAATTATAGTGTTCCTTGAAGTTATTTCTTGTTAGTTATTCCTGCATCCATTTTATTGTCACCTTTTAAAACTGTGGTGGCTGTCAGTTAGGGGACAAGTAACACTATTTTACTCAACAACAGTTTTCAAGGGACAATAAGACTGAGCACCAGTCGGTATCATACAACCCCTGTTTAGGACCCCAGCTGGACAGTGACATTTATTTCAGCTCTGCCCACTTCCAGCTGATGAGATTTGGAGCCACAACGCTCAGTGGTGGCTCTCAGGGATGCCTATCCTTGAATAACAATAAAAAATCCAAACATGATGGAATGGCAAACAGAGGGACAAACCTATTTTCATTTTTGTAACCACTAGAGAAATAGAATTTCAAGAGGAAAGCAAGCCAGATTCCCTTCCAGTTCATACCCTACAGAGAAGCAGGCACATAAAACAATTAACTCAAGTAACTCAACCTTGGAGAGATAAATGCAGAGCCACCATTCTATAGAAAATAAAGTGAATGCCGTGTTGTGGCTGAGGAGAGCAAGAATAAGCATTTCCCATCCTCCCTGCAGGACACTACACTGCAGGATCAGCAAATAGACAGTAAGTTTTAATGCCTGTAAATTGTTTATTATCTTTAAAAGTGGCCCTGCATTGTTGTAACAGTTGTCCTCTGTGTCTTAGCTGTCTCTAATCCAGAAACTCCGAAAGGGAGCAACTGAATCAATCACCACAAGAAAGGTTAACAGGGCCTTTAGGTTGCTTAGAACCATACTTCCATGCATTTTCCCAGTTTCTGGGTCTCAAGAATCATGGTGTTCAGTCCTGGACTTGGACCAAAATTCATGGGGAACAGGCAAGGTAATTGATTTCCATGTCCTTCCTTTGATGATACTAAGGAAGAACTTGTTAAATCCTTTGGATAATACATGCTTATATTGCAGTACCAGTTTACACAGCAGTAAACTGGTAGGGAGCCAGGCAGATTTCCAATGGAAAACCTTATTTTTTCTGTGGAATTTCACTGAAAAAGAAACTTATTGTCTCAGAAATATTTCTGCTCAGAAGAATCAGGGATTTTTTAATTGTTGCTGGGGAATTTTCAGACCCCTTTTGATGTGGGACACCTTTGAGTAGAATCCTTCTGATACTTCTCCAACCACTGCTTTCTGAGAAGTTTAAAATTTTCATCAGAATCCTAATTTTCATTCTGTTTCCAAGCAAACCCCACTTTGAATTGCCATAACATCCCAAGTGATGGAAAGGTCAAGGCTCACACACCTCCAAAGGTCAATGTCCTTCAAAACATCTCTGTGCTTGTGCAAACTTTCATGCACAAGTGGTCCCTTCTGGGGACCACTGATGTTCCAAAAATTGTATCACTTGCCTGTTTTGTTGGAGCAGGACCCAGGTCAAGGTATCTCTGCCTCAAAGGAGTCATGTGTTTCCAGTACTTAATTTCCAGATACTAATGGAAAAATTTGCAGTTTCCCGCAAATTTCAAGAATGTTAGAACAAATGGATGCCCTGTCTAGATGTTGGGCCAGGAACAGCTTTTAACCACCAGTAACTGTTTTTTAAATATTTTAGAATTGTCAGTTTTCCAGTCAGGGAGCAAATGGGATGCTGGTTGACCTGAGTAGCTGCTTGCACACACAGAGCTGGTATTTTGCAGACAGGGTTTTTTAAAAAAATAATAAAATTGACTATTTGATCTCCTGATATTTCTAACAAAAGAGTTTATATTGTAGAATTTCACTAGGTATAGCAGATATCTACGCTCTCATTTACACAACGATTACACTATTTCTCACCATTGCTCTGATATTTGAGAGGAAGGTAAAAAAAATGCAGTTCTGGATGTGGCATCAGAGTGTAGGACTCTAATTTCTTTACAGTTTTGCCTGAAAGTACTGTTACAGTTAAAGTTGTGTCAGCACTTTCATTAGAAATCCAGTTTTGATTTACAACACTGGCTGCAAAAAATTTGCTACTGGCTGAAATTCAGTGTAAGGTCTCTGGCCATGGGAAACATTTTAAACATTTTTTGGAAGGTTATTTGAGACAAGTTCTACTGTACCGACATTAACACAGAAATTTTCCTTAGATTTTAATAGGTGAGACTAGATTTAATTTTTTTTTTTTAGTAAATTTACAGAACCAAAGGGTTATTTTGAGAGATCACCTTATTTTTTAAGTTAATGCCCTGATTTTGGCTGGGATAGAGTTAATTTTCTTCTTACTTATTTTAAACTACGCTTTTAGAAATTTCAGGGGCTTTTACCAGAAATCCCAGTGAGGAAACACCACCCAAACTAACAGATGTTTAAAGCAGACAGTGAGCAAGCACACTCTTTGGTGTAAGCGTTCCCAGCCCTTTAACGTGCGCTTAAAGCACTTCATGAAATGATGCTCAGTGGCTCTGCTGTTCCTACTTTATTAGCTGGGCATTAACAAACCCTGGCAGTATCCATGCTGCACAGTGTTGTTTAGATTAATTTAGTGCTGGTGAGTGGTGTCAGGCTGACAGGGGAGGGGATGAGAGACCATTCATCACCTGGACGGTTACGACACCGCAGCTCCCTCTTCCCACAGCCGCTGCCTGGGGGCACCACATCCAGCAACAAGAGCTTAACTCAATGCCTTTTCCACCCAGCCCCCGGCCCCTTGGCAAGAGATGCCAGCATGGACAGCAATTAAGCTATTCCTGCTGCAGATGGGCACCAGAAAACCCCCCAAAATGACCACTGTGAAGTCCCTGCAGGCCCCCAATAGAGCAGTGGCAGAGACAGCAGGGACCTTGAAGTAGAAGTCAACATAACCTGCTGCATATTTTGCTACTGATGGTAGAATCACAGAATCATTAAGGTTGGAAAAGCCCTCTTAGATCACAGAGTCCAAACCTTAACCCAGAACCACCACGTTCACCGTTAAACAATATCCCCAAATGCCATATCCACATTATCCATGCAGTGCCTGCTGGTAAGTCTCTGGTATTAAGAATGGCCTGTAACTTGTGGAATAATTTAAGCTACATTCTGACATTGTTTTCTCACCATAAGGCATCCATCCATATTCCAGATGCCTGCCTTCCAAAATATCCTTTATTTAGGTGACCTAATAGTGCATACACCTGAGGCTGTAGAGGACCTGTGAGATTCTGGGATTAAGTGTTCCCTCCTCATCCAGCCGTTTTCCCCAGTGCTGATCCTCTGAAGCAAGAAAAGCATCATCTCACACAAACAGGTACCCACGACAAATTTTGCAGAATGAAAGAATCATAGAATTGCTTATATTTGGAAAAACCCAACCTAAGATTATCAAACCCAACCCAGCACTGCCAAGGCCACCACTAACTTGTGTCCCCAAGTGCCACATCCACATGGCTTTTAAACCCCTCCAGGGATGGGGATTCCACTACTGCCTTGGACAGCCTGTGCCAGGGCTGGACAACCCTTTTCATCAAAGAATTTTCCCTAATGTCCAACCTAAACCTCCCCTGGCACAACCTGAGGCAAGGGAGAGACATGGGAACTTGGTCACTACACTTCAGACTGTCAGAACAGACCTGGGTCCTGCTTTGGCCAAGCAACTAGTCCTCAGTCAATTTCCAGGCATGACTTGAGCTTTAGGGTGGTCCAGAGATTCCTTCAGGCAAATATTTTGAACAAGGCAATCTTTCACTGGATGAAGAGATCAAGACCATGGATGCAGGCCATACCCTGCCAGTGAGCTGCAGCGCCAGCAAGGAACCTTGGGCAGCTCTAACTTATTATGTGGTCATTTATTAAACACTTGGGCCTGTGGATTAAGAAATATGGGCATGCTGACATGTCCAGCACATTCTGACACCTGCAGAAGATCAACCTACCCTGGGGCAAACAGCTTCATGTTATTATCTAGCCAGTGTGATTTTTGGGGCCGGTGATTACAGGGAGTATATACTGCATCTGGCACAAGGGTACACTAATCTCAGCTGGAAACTAGAGATGTTACAATATCGTAGGAGTAAATTAGCAGAATCTGTCAAAGTATTTTTTTCCAACTTTATAGAATGGTATAAATGCTTGTGAAGATGCAATGAGAAGTGCACTGTCTTGTCTACCAATGTTTCCCACTCAGGTCGAGGTGCAGAAAATGAACAAAAATTTAGAGGAGAAGGTAAAGAGGCAAACAAAAAACATCCAACTTCCATGACTGTACAAATGGGGGCCTTTTTAATGCCACACAGCTCATGTAAATAAAATCCTTTTGCTGTGAATCTTAATTAAGGGAATGATTGTTTCTGGCCATCACTTGAAAGGCAAATGTTTTAATTGCTTCTGATGTCTTTTCCTGAGAAAGCTTTTTTTCCCCCAGAAGCCATATATCCCAGGGACATTGCTTTTCCTTGCTGCCTGTCCTGGAAGGGTCCAGCAGCAGCAGGGAAAGGAGGTGGTTTAAGGGGCTATCGAGTGAAACGTGTGCATGAGTTAAAGAGCAGGAGCCGTTTAAGATCCCGAAGTGTCATTAGCAGTAACATGTCACATAAAATGAGGTGCAGATTTCCATTTTCATTTGAACTTCAGGTGTTTAGTAATCCAGAAGCTTTATTTAAGGACTGACCTTTAACCTGGCCTGTCATTCCAATTGCAAGGAGTTGATGGCCACTGGGAATCAATGGGCAGCATGAAGGTCACTTCCTAGAAAAACTGTGGCTATCAATGTGTCAGTTCCAATGAAGTATTATAACAAAGCAGGCAAAGAGCCTATCTCAGTCCACAAGGCACCAGCTCGCTCTCGGGCTGCCTCTCTCCCCATTTTCAGCTATTCTGTAAACACAAACAGAAATGAGCTGTTATTTAATGATATGTGTTTCTGAAGGCATGTGGTGCTTTCAGTTCTGTGGGTGGCACAAGCAAGGGGTGGTTAGAAATCCAACACTCGCTGATGCAGGAGCCAGGGGAAATCCCCTTATTCCTGCACAACGAGCACTGCAGCAGAACTGATCACAGAGCCGCTGGTCCAGTGAGACCTGGACAGCCCCTTGTGGCACAGCCATGCAATTCCATGGCCACAGGGCCGTTGAATGGTTGGGTTGGAAAGGACCTTAAAGATCATCTTGTTCCAGCCCCCCTGCCATGGGCAGGGACACCTTCCACTATCCCAGGTTGCTCCAAGCCCTGTCCAAACTGGCCTTGGGCGCTTCCAAGGATGGGGCAGCCACAGCTTCTCTGGGCAACCCGTGCCAGTGTTTTATCACCCTCATTGCAAAAAACATCTTCCTTGTATCTCGTCTAACTCAATCCTCCTTTGGTTTAAAACCATCACCCCTCGTTCTGTTGCAATGCCACAGTTGTCTCCTTGGTGTCTTCCCCAGGGCTCAAGAGGGAGAAAAGCGTGTCAAAAGCTACAGTCAGCCTGGCCTGCTCACGCTGCTGGGATTAAAATGAACATTTAATGAAATGAGGATTTGGTTTGGAGGTTGGCACAAAGGCTCTCATTTGCATCCTGGCCAAAATCTGTGGTATCTGTGCAGTGAATTATTTTTTTGCAATCACGTAAAAAATGTGGGGTTTTTTGATTTCTACTGAAATCTAAGAAATTTAAGCTTTTAGGAGCAGATTCCCCACGGTAAGTCAGAACCCAGCTCCTGCTGTATGCAATAGGCATTGGATGGCCAGTACCTTTAGGGTCTGGCCTGGGGAAGAGCGGGGTACTAAAGGCACACGTGTCTATCATGAAGCTCAAGTGAGGTCCCACCATGAGAGCTGTTAAACCAAATCCCAGCCGAGGGATAAGAGAGCAGCCAGGAGTTTGTGAGATGGGCACTGAGGATTGTCCCACGCACACACCCTACCCTGCCCCATCCCAGTGCCACGTGGAGGGGAGATGTAGCCCCTCTCCACATGCCAACTGCTCCTGGACTGGTGAAGGTTTTGACTTACAGGGTCAAGGATGAACATCAGCATCAGTCAAAACCTCTCAGTCTCTCACAATGTCTTTGTGCTGAGTTTTCAGCATGCAGCTCTTTTCAGCAATCTGTCTCCAGGGGTTGGGAAATTCCCCTATAGGAAAATTCTTTGGAAAGTCTTTTAAAAGACCTTTCTAATCATTAATAATTACAGTAATTTATTATAAACCTTTCTGTACTCTTACAGAGCCTGCAAGATCTTCCCTATCAATTCATAACAGTTTTGAGGGATAAGTCCATTCCCTGAAAATCAAGCAAAATAGAATTTTAATTGGAATTTCTTTTCCAGTCATAGGAGTCATTGTTGAACTTACTGTTTGCATATTAAGTGTCTTTTTAGATCACTGAGCATGCAGATCCTCTGTGCAAAATCAATATGAAGTCTATGCCTGTCTGTCATGTGAATATAAAACCCTCTGTAAAAGGTCAAGGTGATAGAAATTAATGAATCCCAGTTCAAATTCAAAGTTCCAATTTTGAAATAAAAATTGAGAAATGTGACCATAAAGTGCAACCAAAAGTTTGGATTTCACTCAACAACATGTAGATATAAATTGGAACAGGACTGGAGAGAGATTGTTAGAGCATTTCCTCCATCAAAACAATAAACCTTGTGCAAAGGTAAAAATAAAATGTTAAACTAATGTTACAAAAATCACAGTTTGTTAAAAGTGTGATTGATATAAGGCATTGGTATCCACTTTAAACACACAGATAAAGTGGAGTTCAAATACACATCAAGTCTACTTGCCCATGACTCTGAGCCTGATCCTGCACTCCATCAGCCTCTAAGTATTTCAGTCATTGAAAAAAGGAATATAGTCTCTTTAGGAATTTAAATAGGTGAGTCAGATCATGCATGGAGATAATCTGTCACAATATTATTTATATTTCACAGTACTTTCTTTTAAACTCCTTTATTTCCTCGTTTCCATTCCTTGTATCCTCTTATTAAGGAAAAGAGAGAGTAATTATTGCACAGGGGGGCTGTTCCAAAGCTTTCTACACATACCTATCTGACTGCTAGTTATAGACAATCGTGATTAATTCTATTGAATGGATTTTAAAATGTATTTATTCCCATACCCTGTCCCTCGTTCGCAGATCGAAATATTGGATGCTTAAACACAAAGGTGAGCGTATGTTTTTTGCAAACAAACAGAAAGAGCACAGTTTCTGCCCCAGTAGCAAAATCAAGCTAAATTCAGGTTTTGGAGATCCTGACATAGAGGGAGATTATCACCTCAGCTTCAGTGGAGTTGCATGGAGCGGGGGCGTATCCTGTGCATTTATTAATTTTCCCTTTTTTCTCGCTCCCATCACTTTAAAGGGTCTCGACCACCTTCACACCTGAGACGCACTTTGACTAATTTACACGATGATGGTTTCCTCTGTGCACACACAATAAAAACACTAACTACAGAGCAAACAAACCGCAAGGGAGGGGAAAGTCCTGTGTGCCGAGGATGCCGCTACACCGAGGAATCAAGATAATCTGTGCTGGTTATTGTTATGGTTGGGTTTTTTTCCCCTTCTCTTGGAGCTGGAGTTCCCCTAGCAAAGACCTGGAAGCAGCCTGAGTTTCCATGCAATAAAGCAGCAGTGAGAAAAGCTCAGAGTAATTAAGTGGCTGACGCACAGAAGAAGCCGTTACAAAGATTTGACTAAATTGCCCATTCATTAGTAGCACGGCATGGAAGGAGAATTACAAATAGACAATAGAGCCTGCAGTAATTCAATCTAACCTTGTACTTACAGAAAACAATGAGATAATGAACAGAAAAATTACCAGGCACATATTGCATTTTGTCGAAGGGAGGAAGAGGGAGGGGGATCGGATTGGGACTGGGGGGGATGGAGGGGTGGAAGTGGGGGGGTGCCGGCGAGAGCGGCCTGGCACATGTAACACTAATGGCATCGCTCAAGCTGAGCAAACATTTCTCCAACACAATCATAGTTCTCAGTCTAAGGGCCTCTGGGGAGCTGAGATGAGGCTAGATCGTGAACAAAAAAATGTAATTTATAAGGCGTCTGTGGACTGGAATTTATCATCGGATCCGCTCGCCGCCGCTCAATTGATATGTAGTTGATTTCAAACAACACCCCCCAGGCGCCCACAGGGAACATTTTTTAGATTTTACGCTTGGATATATCTGTTTAACTCACCATTTACCAAAACAACGGCTGATGACAGCACAAACAAGTCACTCTGGAAAAAAAAAAAACCACCACCACAGACATACACAGACACGCACACACCCCCCTGGATAGCACTAAACCACGAGGGTTAGGGCTTTGCAGGGGTTGTGGGGAGGGAGAAAGCAGAGGCAGAGGTTGAACTTGGGGTGTATTTTACAGGGAAGACATGGATGAATCTTCCACTCAATTTTTAAGCCCATGTTGGAGCTTTCCACTGGTTCTTTTTTACATTTGCTTCGCCAGGCAAGCATCACATTGGGCTCGTCCCCTGGAGCAGATGTTGGGGCTGGTAGCTCTGGAAGGGGGCTGTGGGGTCACCCTGGGGTTGGGGTTCAGTGTGGGGGGAGGGTTGCAAAGTACAGCAAAAGGTGTACATAGCATCCCTTGTCTCGATGGAAAGGTGTCCCAGCATCTAAATCCTGACCATTCCTGAGGTGTTCCTGGAGTCCTGGCACCAGTGAGAAGAACTGGAGTGCACCAGTGGGAGCAGAGAGAAGAAAAGTTATCATCGCTGTATTTCAGTGCCACCAGAGACTCAAAACCAGCTTCCTCACTGTAAAAGGGATCTCAGTGCCTGAGTTAATAAAGTGCTGCTACTTCCCATCTTATGAGAGAACTTCTGAAATTCCCCCAGCTGAATTTTGCTATGAGTAACAAGAAATCTCCCCTGACCAAGCCAGTTCACATAATAAAATTCTGTTGCATTTACTCTCTAAAGAAGGAAAACCAGTGCTGACCTTAAACTATTTCTTGCAGTTCCCTCCCAGCACTGTGAGGAAGCCCTGGACTCAAGCTGTCCATTGTGTCAGGTATTGTACAGACACCAGCCTGGAGGTGAGTCTGAAATGTTCAAGGGCAGGTTGGACAGGGCTTGGAGCAACCTGGTCCACTGGAAGGTGTCTCTGCCCATGGAAGAGGATGGAATGAGATGGTCTTAAATGTCCTTTGCAGCCCAAAGCATTCTGTGATTCTGTGACACACAGAGACCACAGGGAAACAAACAGACAAAAAAAAATTTTAAGAAAATAGTTTTATGGAGATGTCAGTGAAAGCTGTCTTGTGCCATTACACAAGCTGTCCCCAACAATATTTTACCTACTTCAGTATGTTCATTAATCAACTTTCAAAACAAGGGCCTCAGTAAGGTAAAGAACTAGTGTCAACTGGAGATGGTATTTGGCTGCTCTAGCAGGATAATTATTGAGGTTGGAAGAGCCTCTCCAGGGGCCACAGGCTACATGTGAATTAAACAGATGAGATGTTACTGCTGTTATGGGGCTGGTCTTCCCACTGATGTCCAGTCTGCCTGTGGAGAGGTTTTGGGGGTGGTTGGGTGACAACTGGCAACTGCTGCCTGGTAAGGGACGGCATAAGAGCTGGGATGTCCACCAGGAGAGAGGAGTGGCTGGGAGGAATCAGAGGTAATTCAGGGTGAGGAGGAGCTGAGATGGGAGAATGTGGCACCTACTGGAGGCAGATCCAGCAGCTGCCCAACATGGACTCCTCTACACAGGAACAGACCCACCACGCAGCTCAACAATGCGCAGCCACCGATTGTTCTGACTCGTGGGCATCACCCCAGTGCAGTGAAAAAAGAAAACCAAACATCAAAAACCACCACTGCTGAACCCCTGGCCCACCAAAAAAAAAAAAAAAAAAAAAAAAAAAGAACAAAAAACCCCTACAAAAAACCCAAACAAACAAAAATCCAAACACAAAACCTGCATAAACACAAAACCAACATAAAAACAAACAAACAATAAAAATTGCTTTTTGAAAAGACCACGGGATAAACACTAAAGCCCAAATCTACAGAGTCAGTGTCTTGTCTGGATGAATTTATTTCCTACTTACTTCTTCTGCTTCCTTCATGGCACCAGTTTGCTTCAAGAGGTCACACAAGCAGGGAAATTGGCCCCTCTTTGCTGGGTGGAAAATGGATCTTCCTGATCCAGGCAGAAAAATGGTCTCTGTTGGATTAACCACAAAAATTCTTTCAAATAACCAAACCCAACAACTGCTACATGGTTCCTTACTACTGGTTGTAAATGATAGCAAGGTCACCTAAGCACTTTCTCACCTAAGATTCTTCCTCCACCCTCCTTGGAATTTATTTCACAAAATATTTTCTGACTTACATAAAATCTTTCCCTCTGCTCCAAAAAGCACACAAAAGGGAAATGCCACATATGGGGCACAAAAACCCTCTACAAGTGATGGCTGTGGGGGCAATCAGTGCCATCTCACCACCCAAACACCTTCTAAAACTACTGACAACAAATCGTTGCACAGGCTTGGAAGGATTGCAGTTAGAGCTGCATAAAATGGTTTGGAATAAACATTACCCGTGGCAAATATCATGTGCCTCAATGAGCCACACTTGAGCTTTTAGTAGGAAAAAAACAAAAAAAAAGACAATGTCTCAAGCTTAGGAATTCTATCTTGGGCTTGCTTTGGGGTTTTTCTCTCCTCAAAGTGATACATTTTAAAAAGATGTTCCTTATGGGTTTTTGTTGTTGTCTAAAAGAAGGGAGGGTTTTGGCTGGCTTTGTGGCAGTATGGTCTATCCTGGGTCTTAAGCTGAAGTTTGTGTCATCTGAAATCACTGGGTCTGGCACTGGGAAACCCTGGGTTGCTGTTCCCAGAGAAATGTACACAACACATGCAGCCTAAACTCCCTCCTCAAAGGCATGGCAGGATATGGTGTCAAACCTTCACTTCTGGGTCTGGCTTTCTGAGATCGAGATGAGTGATAGCCCTCAGTTAATCCAATAGAAAGTACATGATTTCATGTAAAAATGGATGAATGCCCAGGGAATTTACCTGGTAAACTGAGTAATCAGTAAAGAGATTTGTACTATACACAATTTTCAGAGAAACTGCATAACAATACTACTTCTATGTTAATTTCTTAAAGAAGCCTCTATTACCTTACTATCCATGTGTGTGAGTCTAAAAAAGTATCCCTGCTATTTTTTTTTCCTATTTCCTTGTTTCACCCAAAATTGATAATAAAATAGAAATCTCCATGGTTGTGTCCAGTCTTTACAAGTTACATGAGCACAAGCAGGTTGGGGGTAGAGACCTTCTGAATATGGGAAGGTTGAAATTCTTGTCTTAGAGAACCTCAAGAGAGCCAACACGACAGACCTTACAAATTCTTCCAAATACAGGAAACCTTTTAGCTAAGTTCATTCCCTCTCAGGCACTAAAGACTGTCAATCACAGGATGCAAATCCCCAAACCACCACATTTCATCAGTTCTGGTGCCAATGAGGCAGATGCTGTTAACCACCTCCAGAAGCCAAAGGGCAACAACTTGACTTCTAACCACAGAGACTTCAGATCTAAAGATGAGGAAAGCCCAGACTTGCTGGTGATGAAGAATTAGTTGTTGGACTTTCAAATGTTCCCTTTTAACGTGCTGAAAAGCTTTGTGCTAAAATTGTGGTCCCCAAACCCACAAAACCCACTTTGGTTAATGCAAGGCAACATTCTGCAGTTACACAGGGCTAGAGCTTGCAAGCTGACGTGGGGTGTTGGGGTATTGGGGTACCTCTATTACAGTTTTTACTGGTGATGGCACAAAGGCAGATCTGGCAGATCATGCACACTTTTGCTTTTGTTCTCCATAATGACTTGTATTATTTATTTTTTTTTTGGTAGCAGGCCCAAAAAGAAACTTAGCCCTTAAACAGGACAACCAAAGTCAGATCTGAACGTGGGTCATCACGTTGGCACAAGCCTACTCACCTTTACCAGGGAATTGCTGAGATGCCCTGTATGGGTTCCTGCCTGTGGTGCCCCATGTAGAACCAGACCCTTTAACCACCAGATTTCATCTGTGAGATCATGAGAGTGGACATTTGGTGGGGGAACTGGCAATGTCAGGTTAATGGTTGGAGTTAGAGGATCTTTGGGGTCGCTTAACACAAAATATTACACGGTTCTATGATCTTAAGGGTCTTTTCCAACCTGAATCATTCTATGATTCTGTGACTTCAGCAAATTTAGGAGTGTGCAGTATTAGCACCGTTGTTACCTTTGTTACCACCCAAGCTGGGGTTCAGATCACTTTTCTCTGCTGACCCTGATCTGGAGCCGGGAGGTAAAATGGCTTTTGTTATGACTTTCCCCTCTAAGTGAGGTAAATGGAAGCTCAGTGTTATGTCAGCCAAGCCGTGCCAGCAGCGCAACTATTTTCACCATGGCAAAATGCCTTTTTTTTTTTCCTTTCCTCCTGGATTGCACAGTTCCTTTGACAGGGAAGGGTAAAGACCCTCAAGGGTTCTCAGAGAACATCAATATGTTTTGTATTTAATGTGCTGGCTCGGTTACAGCAAATTAAGGAGAGTGGGCCCGGTACAAGATAATGCAGCCTGCAGTTCCTCACTCCCTAGCCGAGTGGAATACACTGAAAATGATACTCCAGTGTGGAGAAATACTGCACATTACATCCCCCTGCAGTAACAGAAGAGACATTAGGCAAAGCCCTGACTCTTAATGGTACACATCAGGAAAACATCTGAGCTTGGGCCTTCAATCACAAACGCTGCAGGATTTAAAAATGAATAAACTTCACATTGTGATTCTCTTATTTATCCTTTATGCAAATTGTCCCTGGGAGGACACATTATGTTCGCTGCATGGCACGGCGCAGACCCACATTAAAGCGTGGAGGGCCACTCTTATGTAATGCACAACCCTCCCGGCCCCTCCGTGCGGTTTGTGGTGCAAAGAGAAACAAACACACAAAGGAAAAAAAAAAAAAAAAAGAAAAAGCCAGCCTCAACCCCCCCAAACCTGGAAATGTGTTCTCCTTTGGCTGCTGAAAATATCCCGATATTCAGGCAAAGAAGCAGTGCGGAAATATCCCGCTCTCTTTTCCCAGTTGTCAGCCTGTGACAGAAGGAGATGGCGAGACTGGGGGAAAAAAAACCCTCTTTGTAAACTAAAAATACAGAAGCAAATATTTTAAAACCCTGAATCCTTACAAGGTAGCTGAGAATTTTGCTTAGATTAATATAACGCATTAATCCACGTGGCCACAGCCCCTAGAAAGAAGCCAGCCTGTTAGCTAACCTTTCTGTTATTAGCTCCCCCTTCTCAATGGGACAGAGACACAACAGAGTGGATCGACATTATTTTTCCTGGGCAAAATCTCTTGCCCCCTTCAAGCTTTTCATTATTAGCACAAATCTTCCGCGGTGTCCTTGAGCAAGCATTCGCCAGATGACTGGATGGCAGAGAAGCAAACAGCCCTACACGTGAAAAAGGAATGGGAAGAGAGTTCAGGGACTTGGCCACAAAATTAACTGCTTGAAAAGACACAGGGAAGACCTGTTAAGTAGAGCTCCAAGGGCAGGCTACCAGGTGGGTCAAAACGCCATAATCACAAATCCATCCTCTTTAACATTATCTGAGCAATTTCCTAATATGCCTCCTGCCTACCCAGGAGACAGCAGAACGGGCGAGGGGTCCTGTGTTTAAAGTCATCTCTGTGCTGTGTAATTGTGGCTGGCAAATAATCCAGGCTGAACAAACTCTTCACGTCAATGAAAATATACATTGACTGTGATCACCACCTCTGTAAGAGCTGCTTCTGAATTCAGGATTTGATTCAATCCTTTTTTTCTCCCTCCAAGTTGCACCCCAAGTGGGAAAGGTGCATGATGCAGATAGCAAAAAATGGGTGTGGGCATTGAGTCCCATCTCTGTCCATGACGTGGTTTTGCTGCTGGCTGGACTCTTTTGTCATGTCTCCAGTACTGAAAACTGGTATCAAAGGCCAAATCACTGTGTCCTGTAAGAAAAACAGGAGTGAAAGCCAGAAGAGATGGGAACCTCCACCTTACCTGCCACTGTGAGGGTGGTGAGGCCTGGCACAGGTTGCCCAGAGAAGCTGTGGCTGCCCCATCCCTGGAATTGTCCAAGGCCAGGTTGGATGGGATTTGGAGCAACCTGGGATAGTGGAAGGTGTCCCTGCCCATGGCAGGGGGTGGCACTGAATGACATTTAAGGTCTCTTACATCCAAAACCATTCTATGGTTCTATTATGGAGGTAATTGCAGAGATACATCAGCCTGAGAGTTTAGCAAAATATTTGAGTTTTTCCATATAACATTGATTAAGAATGAGTGCCAAAAAGCAGCCTGAAAACCCATTTCTGAAATCCTACTTCCTGTAATTAGGATATTTCTAATTTTCCTCTTCTGCGCAGTTTTTTTGGAACATTTTCAGCCCAGTCTGAGTATTTTAACAAAACTCGTAGGAACCAGTGGTCGAAGGTGAGCTACAGATTCAAAAGCTACCACAGTAGGAGGAGTCTTTTGGAAAAGTGTCTCATTTCCTGAAGAAACCAGGCTAAAACCATCAGAGAATATTTAGATATACAATAAGAGAAAATTAGTTCTGATGTGTCTCAGAACTACATCTGGTTGGAGACTGGATCCTCAGCCAGCTGGACCCTTGGTCTGAACCAGTATGGTTGCTCATGGAAAATAGTGTAAAAATCTGAATTTTGCAGATAGTGGCAAACTGGAAGACGTTGCAAGGACCAAACAAAAAGGGCTACCACATTCTGCTCATGCCTGGTGTGACATCTGCTGTTACCTGTTGTGAGGAGAAAGGTGGTCAGAAATACAAATGGCAAAAAGAGAAAACAAAAGTAAGCGTAAATTAACAGGAGGAATACAGAAGAGCAAAGACTAGACTATACCTTTGCTAATCCTAACCTGTTGTCAAACTAAAGAAAATAAGTATTTCATGCTTTCACAGTAATATTTTTAACTATGTTTCTTAAGGAAATGAGGCTGATAACTTTTGAAGCTGTTAACAAGTTTTAACAAAATATGACAAAAGGTTAGCGATCACAAATATACCAGATATATTGAATTAGTTATTGTAATTTTTTTTTGGGGAGAGGGAGAAGATAGCCAGTTAAAAAAACAAACAAACAAACAAACAACAAGAGGGCACCAGATCATGGTCTTGTTCTTCTGAAATAAAGGCCCAAGATGAACTCAATGTTATTGTTAGACCCAGAAGGGAAACATTAGGAAGGCAACTTCTGAGAAAATAGGTTTCAGAAGTCCTGCTGGCCAAGAACAAGGGTAAGTACAACCCAAGAAACTGCAAATAAAAATGGAAAATTTTGATCAGATGTAGTTTCTAGCCATGTGGCACCTACACAGAACAGGTTGTACAGAGAGGTGATGGGTGCCTCATCCCTGGAATCATTAATGGGCTGGTTGCACAGGGCTTTTAGAGACTTAGTTGAATATATCGCTGCTCATTGCAGGGGGAGTTGGACTAGATGACCTTTAAAGGTCCCTTCCAACCTCAAATATTCCATGATTCTATGATATACGATATAAACACCAACAATATTTGACAAGAGGTGAGGGGCTGGTGTTCAAAATTCTCCAAAGAGAAAGCGACCTCAAAAAACATTTCACGGCATTTTTAATTTTTGGATGCTACTCAGATGCCTGAAGTGACTTAAATCAAGCTGGTGGGTTGATGCAGCAATTCCCCAGCAAGGGCAGGATTCCCTGAACTTGGGCTGTGTCATGGAGCTGCCCAGCGTGATGCAAATTTGGGAAGTACAAAGGAGTTGAGTGGTTCCTCAGGCATGACAAATTTTGTGCCTTTCTTCCTGCTTTCAAGGTGTTCCTAGGTTACAAGTTTCTCCAGTGTATTTGTGAATCAGAATTAGCTGCTGATGTGTTTTGCACTTCATAATTTAAAAAAAAAAAAAAAAAAAAAAAAAAAACAACAAAAAAACTTAGGAATCCAACTTGTCCTTATTTGTCACGCCCGGCTTCCTTAAATCGCACTGGATGCTCAAAGTCTGTCTGAGCTCAAGGGGAGACAGATAAGCTCGTGGAAGGGAGTTAATTTGCACAGAGCGGTGGTTTGTAGCTCAGGTTGATCAAAAAATGGAAATTTTGGGGAGCTGGGAGAGGCAGCATCACATGTACTGAATTAATATGTGTTGATATTTTAAAGATGAGAGATGCACTCAAACCCACTGGAAGTTGAGCTTCCACATCTCTCTGCTGTGGTGGGAAGCGGTGCAGGAGAGAGCTACGTGCAGGAGACATCAACACCACCTGAATCTGAATCCAGCACACTTGGCCTTCCCTCTCTGGTGGATATTTCTGCTTCACCGAGTTTTCTTGTGCAAAAATAACTGCTGGTTTTCCTTCATGGGACTCCTCATAGTTTCTGTAGTAATTTTGTCCTGGTTTCAGCTGAGATAGAATTTGTTCTCCTCTTAGTAACTGATACAGTGCTGTGTTTTAGGTTCAGTGTGAGAATAATGATAACACACCAATGTTTTGGGTTTTGTCAAGTAGTGTTTACCTTAATCCGGGACTTTTCAGTGTCTCATGCTCTTCCAGTGAGGAGACATCCCAAAAACTGGGAGAAAGTAGCCCCAATGCCGATCTGTGGCCAGAAGAATTTTATTGTACTCCTGAACAACTTCATTGGCAGTACAGTTGCTTGCTCCCAAGCAGATAACAGGAATAATTTAGCTTGCTGTTAATCCAGTAAAATTGTCATTAAATATGTCCGGGGAGAAAAGGAGACCCATTCATTTGTGAGTGAAACCTGAAAGAATTCAGGGTTTTCACCTTTTATTTTTTAGTTTCATAAAACAATGGTTTCACTTTGGTTTTGCATCTACAGAATGGCACTTTCTGCTGTGCCCTTACAGGAATTAGTAAAATTATCTTCTTTCTCCTTCTGGTGACTTTGTCTGCTTGGATGGCCCTGAGTTATCTGTAATTGAACTACATCCATGAGTGAAGCCTTGAGTGGTGGGGGAGAAAGTTCAAATATTATCTGGGTAATGCCAGACCTGAGCCTTGGTGCTTGCAG